AGCGTTCAGGGCGGCTGTCCCTGTCACACTGGGGGTGGTGCTCAAATTCCTGTCTCTGTTAGAGTGGGAGTGCTCTCTTTTGAGTCCTTTGATCCCCCTCAGGCTATGGAAATCTAATTCCAGATGGAGCTCCACCTGCTTGTCGCACTCAGAAAGGTGCTGGTCTCTCACCAGCTTAGAGCTGGGCGAGGTGGGAGGACCAGCTCTCCTGTGCTCTCCTGCTGTGTGTGAGCTCCCAGCCAGTTTCCCTGTTCTTCTGCGGGTGGGTTACTGGCATCTGTGGTGGCAGCATGGGGTTCAGAGTTTCAGAGGATAGTTTCCCTTTCCTCCAGAAGAAGAATTAGGGAGAGGGAAGTCCTCCAGAGCTCCAGCTTCAGGCAGTTGGCTCGTCTCCACATGTGCACATAGAAGCCATGCAGTCTAGAAGTTCCTGCCAGCTCCCTCCGGCCCCACAAAGGTCCAACTTCATCCATGGCCACTTGTGGGCCATGGCTCAGGTAGCTGCAGGCTGTGGAGGTGGCGGCAGTCAGCTCTCCCCTCCGTCAGGGGCCATGTCCCCCTGACTTACTCCAGGCTCTCTGGGCCAGACAGATGCAGCTGGGGGCCGAGCCAGGGGTGGCGGGTAGTAGCCGAGTGAGGTGGGCGTGGGTGCCGCCAATGCTGGGGGTGCACACAGGCTATTCTCTGTTTTGATTTGATGCCACCAGTTTGGGAAGTTAAAAACACGTATGCTCATGAAAGGGTAGACATTCATTTTAGCCTCCTAGACTGGACAGCGACATTTACATGCCAGGAATATGACATGAGAAATGAACACGATGTCATAGGGCAATCGGGGGAAAAACCAACCAGGCATCTGGCTCCTGCCCCTCCCAAAGAGACAGACCATGTGTAGCGGAACCATCGTGGTCAGGAGTTCTTCCCCTGCTGTGCACGTGCAGAGGTTTCAGGGCAGGGAGGGGAGTGCAGGTCTATCCCCGGGACCCCAGGCCTTTCCTCTCCGGCACGTGCTGTCAGGGTTCCCAGCCCGGAATCCAGCATCCTGCCCTGTGTTAGTCCATTTGTGTTGCTATAACAGAATATTGAGAGTGAGTGGTTCATAAAGAACAGAAATGTATATTTTCTCGCTGTGCTGGAGGCTGGGAAGCCCAGGATCTGGGCACCAGCTCCAGATGTCTGCTGAGAGCTCGCTGCATCCTCAATTGGCAGAGGGCAGAAGAGCATGCTGGCCAGACACAGTGCTGTGCGAAGCCACTTTTAAGGGGGGTTCTATCCCCTTCCGGAAGGAGGAGCTGTCCTAGCTGTTCCCTTGTGCACGTGCTGCTAAGACACTGCTTCTCGGGCTGGGACCACATGAGAGGCCCGGGTCGGCTCCCTGGTCCAACATAAAGGCTGCACCTATACTCCCAGCAGCTCTGCAGGCTGAGGTGGGAGGAATGCGATCCAGGGGCTGGCCTGGGAAATACACAGCAAGACTCCGAAAAAGCTTGACAGTAGATGCCCACCTTGCTACCTAGGAAGCTGAGGCAGAAGGATCACAATGGGGTGAGGGCCCGTCCAAATAAATAGACAGTAAGGGCCAGAACCATCACATCGGCATCGGTAACCCCTGGATTTGGAGGGGCCACACTCACGCCATAGCACCCCGCCTGTTTGTCCATCTCCACCCTCCTGTCCCACTGCGGCCACACAGATGGACACTGGCCCATCCCATGCACCTTTGGGCCTCCTGCCCTCTGCCTAGACGCACTCCGTCCTCTTGTCCCAGGCCACCACTCTTTTCCTCTTCAGTCTTCGAGGCCAGTGCAGATGGCAACTCCTTTGAGAGCCAGCCTTTCCTGTCCCCCTATCCGGAGTCGCCTTACTGTCCCCTGGGCTCCAGGCCCTTGCTCATGTTCCTCTGGCACCTGATGGTCAGAACTGGCACTCGGCAAGGCCATTCACGCCACAGGCAGGGGCCAGGAGCCCTGGGAGCTGGGTCTCTTACTCCACATGAGCCTTTAAAAGTCCTGCCACTCTCTGGGGCCAGCAGATGGCATAATGGTTACGCCTCTGAACTCCCATGTGGTCAACCATAGTTTGAAGCCCCAGTGGCATCAAATTCATACTGGGTACATGTGCGTGTATGTCCAAAATCCCGGTGGAGGAGAAGGGATTGCAGCGTGGCCATGGCTGATTTCTTGCTTTCTGTCTCTCTGGCACACAACCTGTGGCAAAAATCTCTTTTTAAAAGAAAAAAAATAAAAAAAGTCATGCAATTTTCTGGCCTAGTTTTCTTTCTTTCTTTTTTCTTTTTCTTTTAATAATTGCTTGAGGGTTCTGCACTTGCCAGAGAAGCAAAGTTAGTGGGGAGAAGGGGGCTTTCCAGTGACGACTCGTTCTGGGCAGGAGAAGAGCCCGTACAGGCCTTCTTTCCTTTTCCGTAAGAGCAAATGGAAACCACTGGTCTCTGCGTATCTCTCTGCACTCATGGGAGACCGAGCTGATGCTTATAGGAGCCCACTGGGAACCACGCCTTCAGGATGGGAGTGAGCCCGTAGCCTCAAGCTACTCAGATTTAATCCAAAGAAAATACACTGTTCTTCTGAGTTGGAGCTGTGTGGACTCAGGCAACTTTAAAATCAATAAGCCAATGATCCAATGCCTTTTTCCAAGCCGGTGGGTGACTGGAGGAGGACGCAAGGTGTTGTTTGAAGAGGCCGTGTGCAGCTCAGCATCGGCGCCCATGTTTATCAAGGAGCTCTGCCTGCTCTCATGAAACGGCGTTAAACCCTTGACTGTGTCTAGTCCTCCCTTCCCAGAGCAGTTCCTGTGGCTCTTTCTCTCCGTATCAGAGTGAGGTTCATTATTGTCGGCGAAGACGAAATAATGTGTACTCACTACAGGACTTGCAGTAAGGATGGGAGATGAAAAAGAAAACTTAAAAATCACCTTTTTTTCCTTTTAAATTTAAGAGTGTTGCAAATAAAAAGGCATGGGGGAACTTTCTTAAACAGTAGGAACATTCTAGATCTCTGTTGGTGTTTGGTTACTACCCAAGTCATATCTCAAATTCAGCCAATACAAGGTCTGTATCCTTCACTGTGTGTAAGTTTATGCTAGAAGAAAAGATGCAAACAATGATTAAGCTTCAGTTAATGACATGCATGATAAAGCGGTCCGAGGGAGGTGTGCAGACGTCTACAACTTATTTTGAAGACATCCAGATAAAGTAAGATGGCTTGGTGATGGGTAGATGGGTAGAGACGTGATCGAGGGCATGCAGTAAAATGTTAATGGCGGGATCCAGATGGTGGATACCGTAGTACTCACCATAAAACGTTTTCCACCTCGCTGCATGTTTGAAAATTTGCATATTACAGTATTGGGGGAAAGATGACTAACTGAGGGGGAGCACAATCCACATTCACAATCCAAACTTAATCACCATTAACATTTTAGAGCACATTATTTCATTGTCATTCCCAAGAACGTATCATTTTATACTATTAAGATCTTATTTTCCCATTTGTTACTCAGTATTGTATCATAGTTTTCTTTTGTCATAAGAAGTCTTCACTGTGTCATTTTTAAATGAAAGAGTCATTTGCCTGTGTAGGCTTTATAGTGTGTCGTTCCGTAGGTTTTGATGCAGTCACATAACCGCCCTCATGACCAAGAGAGAGAGCAGTTCCATCATTCTGGGAGATCTCTCCATGCCTCTCGGAGGTCTATCCCACTCCTGGCAACCCCTGAGCTGTTTTCTAGAAAGTCTTGTGAACGGAATCATACAGTGTGGTGCGTAGGCTTACGGCTCTGGCCTCTTTCCTGCATGCACGACAAAATCCCACTTCTTCATGCTGCAGGTGCTAGAAGTTCTTTTTTTCACTGAGCTTCTATTGTGCAAATGAATATCAATATAATTTTTAGAGCTTATTTTTATTTTTGCTCACGATAGTAGGTGTGCATGCATGAGACAGGAGTGGGGGGATCCCCGGCAGGGCCTCCTCTTGCTGTGACCCCTTTCCCCAGTTCTTTAGCTCACTAGAATCCCAGACATGAGTGCAGGCACCCGATCTGTTTCTAGGCCAGCTCCGGTCATCTGAATCTGCACTTGGCCACGTGTCTTCCAGTTCCGTTCACTACCAGCTGCGCCACCAGGCTAGGCTATTCATTTCATTTTAGTGTTTGTACAAATTTCTTATATTGGGCCAGCAGGTGGCATGGAGTTAAGGCAGCTGGATCCCACAGGGCCAACTGTGCGGTTTGAGTCCCCAACCCAGCAGCTTAAAAACATGCCAGGCATGTGTGTGTGTGTGTGTGTGTGTGTGCAACATCCTGAGAGGAGAATGGAGGAGAAAGGATTGTTACTGGCTATTTCCCCAGGAAGCGATTTCTCACTTTCTCTTTCTCTCTGTCTCTTCTCAGCAAGCACATGCATTTCATGGCAAACGAAAAAAAAAAAAAGAAATTATCGTATGTTATATAACATGTTACGTGTTGTCCTATTGGTTACTTAAGATGTTCCTTCTTCAGTGTCATAAATGCCATTGTAGTGAATAGCTTACGTACAATCTTCGTCACCGGTCAATTCTTTAAGATAGATTCCTGAGAAGGGAATTACTAAGTCAAACGTTATGGCTATTTTTAAAGTCCTTAACACATTTTTAGTCATGAAAATGTGTGTCCTTGTATTTCTTTATGTGGCTCATGACAAGCTTCGGTTCAAGCTCTACTGGCGTTTCTAACCCTCTTTTCTCCTCTTTTACCGTATCGTCACTGTAGGGTTGACCTGAAGGTTCCGTGTCATTGGTGAGCTTGCAAAGTTCTAAGTCATGGAGACAAACCAGGAAACCTCCCTCTTTTTGGTGAAGATCTTGGAGGAACTGGACAGCAAGCAAAATACCGTGTCCTACCAGGACCTGTGCAAATCGCTGTGTGCGCGGTTCGACCTGTCGCAGCTCGCCAAGCTGCGGAGCGTGCTCTTCTACACGGCTTGTCTGGACCCCAGCTTTCCAGCCACGCTGTTCAAAGACAAGATGAAATGCACCGTGAATAACCAGCAGTCAAAGAAGATCATGGTGGCGGCAGACATCGTGACGATATTCAACCTGATCCAGATGAACGGGGGCGCCGCGAAGGACAAGCTGCCCACAGGCCGCCAGAAGGCACGTAAGAAGGAGGCGTCCTTCGAGTCCTGCCGGTCGGACCCAGAGGTGTGCGTGGCGGCTGAGTGCGAGCCCCTGCACTGCGAGCTCAGCGAGAGGCCCTTCAGCCGTGGCTACCCCACCAGGCAGTCGACCAAGTGCCGCAAGGTGGACTGCAAGGACTGCCCACAGTTCGTGCCCGCCTCCGAGCCCAACTTCCTGCTGGGGGTCAGCAAGGAGGTGAAAACCCGCGCAGCCTCCCTGGACAGGCTGCAGGCCCTGGCCCCGTACTCTGTGGCCAGCCCGCAGCCCTGCGAGATGCAGCGGACCTACTTCCCCATGAACATCGAGAACGAGTCCGTGTCGGACCAGGACTCCCTGCCCATCAGCCAGCCCATCAACGAGGAGCCCTTCATGGTCCAGTCCTGTGTCCAGAAACGGAACATCTTCAAAGAGGATTTTCATAACCTCATGGCCGTGTCCCCCAGCTTGGTCGGCCCTGTCAGCAAAGCGGACGGTGAGCCCCGGGAACCCCAGAATCGAAAGGAGCCCCACAAGCCGCCCTTCTTCAATCACAGCTTCGAAATGCCTTACAACAGCCAGTACTTGAACCCGGTGTATTCCCCGATTCCTGACAAGAGGCGGGCGAAGAATGAAAGCTTAGATGACCTTCAGGCCTCCACGTACTTCGGCCCCACTCCGGTGATGGGCACGCAGGAAGCCAGGCGCTGTCCGGGGAGGCCCAGCAAGCAGACCCCCTGGCCAGCCAAGAGCTGGAGCCTCAACACGGAGGAGGTGCCTGACTTCGAGCGATCCTTCTTCCACAGAAACCCCTCCGAGGAGAAGCTGCGCTATCCCAGCCCCAGTGGCCAGAACACCAATTTCCCAGCCCCAGACAGGCGCCCGGCATACCTGGTACCGAAGGAGCAGCAGCCGGTTCTCCCAGTTGGCTACGCCGCAAAGCCCAACGGGCTCAAGGCTAAAGAGATCCCGTCTCCTGTCGACCTGGAGAAGCACGAGCCCGTCAAGAAGTTCAAGGACAAGGGCATCGGGCAGGCCAGTTCCGACACCAGCAGCGTGGGCACGCAGACAGAGCACGTGCTGGAGCCCAAGAAGTGCAAAGACCCGTGCGCCTCGGGGCAGGGCCGGTACGGTGACAGGCACGCCCTGAAGCACTCGGACGACGACTCGGAGATCGTCAGCGACGACATCAGCGACATCTTCCGGTTCCTGGACGACATGAGCATCAGCGGCTCCACGGGGGTGATGCAGTCGTCCTGCTACAACAGCACGGGCTCCCTGTCCCAGCTGCACAAGTCGGACTGCGACAGCTCCCCCGAGCGCAGCCTGGCCAAGATCGCCAACGGGGTCCCCAACGGCAAGGGCGACAAGGGCAGCCGGCCCGAAAGCCACCACCACTCGGAGGAAGAGCTGAAGACCAGCGTGTGCAGGCTGGTGCTCAGGATCGGCGAGATCGAGCGGAAGCTCGAGTCGCTCTCGGGCGTCCGCGAGGAAATCTCCCAGGTCCTGGGCAAGCTGAACAAACTGGACCAGAAGATGCAGCAGCCCGAGAAGGTCAGCGTGCAGATCGACCTGAACTCCCTGACGAGCGAGGGGCCGTCGGACGACAGCGTCTCGCCCCGGATGTTCCGCGCGCACCACGGCTCCCACGGACCCAAACTGGAGAGCAACGCCGACTGGTGCTGCTCGGACGCCAGCGGGAGCAACAGCGAGAGCCTGCGAGTCAAGGCCTTAAAGAAGAGCTTGTTCACCAGGCCGTCCTCCAGGTCCCTGACGGAGGAGAACAGCGCCACGGAATCCAAGATCGCCAGCATCTCCAACTCGCCCAGAGACTGGCGCACCATCACGTACACCGGCCGGGCCGGCCTCCACGAGGATGAGGTCAAAGACCCAGGCCCGGGAGATGACAAGGACTGGCACCGCAAGTCCAAGGAGGTAATTTCAACCCAGCTCGTGGCATCGGGCACTAGCTTTCGGAGCCTGGGACATGAAATAGGACAGGGGCCTCCCCTCCATGTGCCGGTCGCCCTTCCTGGTTTGGCTGGCATTTCTGATGAGAGTAGTGAGGACAGCCCAGGCTGTAGGGTGGCTAAGTCATCGGTGAGCACGGAGGGGCCCAGGGCTGCGATCGTGGACAGGTGGTGAGAGACTGGGTTTTCATAGAATGGGGACCTTCGGAGTGGGCACGTGTCACCCACCTCCCTGTCCTTTTTGAAATAGCAAGACGCAGGCCAGACAAGTGAGAATACGAACAGCTAGGCGTTTCTGTAGAAATATCGTGCCAAATCAAAGCAGCCACGCTTCTAATCTGTGAGATGTCAAAGTCTGCAAAGCCAACAGAGCCCCCTGAAGCACCTCGCGTGAGTTGCTAAAATTGGGGGTGAGCCCTCTGTTTTGTCAACTTCTGTGAACCCACTCTCCTGGCGTGTGGTTCTCACCACCCGTGGGGTGATGGGTCCACGACGGTCACCACTGGGCCCACCTTCTGAGTTGTTCTCAGATGTCAAACCACTGAAGGTCTTGCTCACTTGTCCAAGTCTACAGGTTCTCGGGCCAGCAGGTGGCATGGAAGGTAAGGCAGCTGGATCCCACACGGTCAACAGCACGGTTCATGTCCCGGACCCGGTGGCTTGAAAATCACACCAGGCATATGGACATATGTGCTCAAAACCCTGAGAGGAGAATGGTGAAGGGGCGAAGCACCTTGGAGGATGCTTTCTCATTTTCCCTTCATCTTTCTGTATCTTTGGCAGGCACATATACTCTCTAGCTAACTAAAAAAAGGAAAAAGAAATCCATAGGTCCCAAACCAGACTTCCTTCAAAGCCAGTGTCTCTCACCTCCACTCTGGGCGTGTGCGGCCATTAGCCTAGCAGTTCCCCGATCTGCACATCCCCTCTGGTCTTTGAACACCCACCTCCCCAGGACTGGCTCTTGCTCCGTTTAGCTGCTGACGCTACAGAACCATCTTCTTTTCCATCTGCACCCCTCACCCCAAGTCCAGGCTCTTGGAACTTCCTGCCGGGGACCTGGGGGTATGCTCCTCACCTCCCATCTCATCTTGTGGCCCACTGCTGCCTTCACTTCCCTACAGCTCCACTCTTGCTGTTTGTGTGGTGCTTCCTATTCCCAATTCTTCCCTGGCTCCCCTCTGCCCCAGCGGCAAGTTTCAAATGGCCTTTAAAACCCGCTGAATTTCATGTACTTCCCAGTCAGGGGCGCTGTGGTGCCGTGTGACTGCCCTGTTCTATCATGTTGGGTGCACCTGGCTTTCCTCCTAAATGCCGTGTTCGTGTGTTCTGTCCGCCATTCAGGAAGTGCTCAGTAAGCCTCTGTTATGGCCAGGTCCCAATCCACTACCAAACTCTTCTTCCCATGATTCCTCTGTCAGGACTTCTGGTCTACCTCCTCTGTGAACAAGCCCTAAGTTCCCCCAAAGGCCTCTGAATTCATGAGCATCTGGAAGATTTCTTAGGGGTTATTGTTGTCCTTTGATCTTTAGCTTTGAGTTCTCATTGTCTGGATGCAGTAGATAAGTGCTTTTTTTCTTTTTTTTGAGAATTATTTATTTTATTTGTTATTCTTTTTTTTTTTTTTTCCAATTTGGAGAGATAAGGGGAAAGTAAGAAAGGAAGCCACCAGGTCTAGGACTCGAACTGCAGTCAGCCATGTGGGAGTCCAGTGCCCTAACTACCATGCCACCTGCTGGCCCTGGCACAAATTTCTATTTAAAAATACGTTATGTCTATGCACTGACTGTTGGGGTAGGACACACTCTTCAGTGGTAGGGATAGACGCAGACAGCAATGATGCCTTCCATCGCAGAAGTGAAAACAGGTCCAATCTGGCTCTACCACTTACTGGCTGTGTGACCTTGGGTTCGTCTTGAGCCTCTCTGACCTAAGTCCCCATTACATGCGGGGACAGTAGTTACGACCTCTCCGTGACCATGAGAAGCTGAAATGAGCTGACACGTGTGGAGCACGGGGCAGGGTGGTGGTGGCCAGTGCTCACTCCTGGCCGAAACGCGCTCACTGCCCAGTGGCTGTCACCGTGGTGGCTATCACTGCCACCTTCCCCTCCTGTCGTGGGTGGGCCCTGCACGCACAGGAGCCCTGTGAGTGTGGGTGAGCAGAACAGTAGGGGAAGCTCTTAGGACACTGTGCTTGGCAGAGGTGGAGGGAAGAGGGAAGCACAGTTGCTCGGGTTCCTCAGAGCTGATCCTGCGTCCTCTGTCAGCACCGAGCCTCTGGCGTGGGAGCACGGTGTCACGTCACATTGGGCAAGACCAGTGGGCCAGGTTTGCTCTTAGATGGGTACATGCTTCTGGCCTCTGTCCATGCCATGCACATGCCACACGTGCACACACACACGCATGCCACGTGTGCTCTTCCCGCTCAGCAGTAGCTGTCACCCTCGAGACACCTGTCACTTTCCCCTACTGGCACGCACACCTTCCTCCTTGTTACTCACATACACTGCCTTTCTTGCTCTCTGCTTCAAAATACACGACTTCTTAGAATTTTATTTTTTAATTAATTTTTTTTTTAAGTTTTGCTATAGGGTGCATGAGCTTGCTGGAGAGAGAGAGAGGAGGAAAGGGGGAGAGATGAAGCGAGAGGGGGGAGAGAGTGAGCTCACCCCTCCAGGGAATGACCACGCCACAATCCCTTTTGAATTCTCTCAGGATTTTTGGGCATGCACGCACCCACCCCGACATGTGTTTCAAGCCGCCCGGTCCAGACTGGAAGCGTGCAGTTGGCCTGTGGGCTCCAGCTGCCTTCACCTCCCCTCCATCAGCTGGCCCCTACATACACGGCTTACCGTCGGTTTCTACCCTCCATCGGATACTCCTGGAGTATCTTGTCCTCGGTGGTACTGTTTTGCTGGACTGAGGTGATTAAAAGGCTTAGAGTAAGACAATTCCCTTTCTTCAGGGTGCTCAGAGGCTGGTGGCGGTGACAGGCAGGCAGGCAGTTACAGTTCGTGACAGATGCTGGCTGAGGGGTCTGGACACAGTCCTAAGAGGTCACCTCAATGGGCACTGACTCCATCCTGGTGGATCAGGAAGTGCTTCCTGGAGGAAGCTGCGTATGTGGAGATCTTGGGGCCTTCGGTAGAAAGTACTGGAAACAGAAAGTATCTGAAGACCCCAGTTACAGCAGGTTCACTGAGAGCAGGTCCCCAAGGTGCACCTGAAGGCATGGCGAGCGTACGTGGGTGCCCGCATTGGGTACCCTCCTACCATGGTGCCATTGTGCGACCACCTTGACTTGAAGGCCATGCAGATGTCTCTGAAAGGGCCCCACCCACCCCTGGAGGACCCACTCTGGCCCTCAACACGTGCTTTCTGGCTGGGCTCCTCTCTTCCAGAGAAGCAGCATGGTGCCAGGGCACTGGACAAGGTCCTTGAGCACAGGACCCCTGTCGTCCGGCCGTCTGTACCGGGTGCTAGAAGAAAGGGCGTTGATAGGTCGCAGGTTGGGGAAGGCTCTCTGGGCAGGTGGAATAGCAGCTCCCACTAACCAGCTGAGCACCCCAGGGCAGGTTACTGAGCGTGTGCGGCTCGGCTTCCCCCCTGTGCAGAGTGGGTTCATAGCGGGAGAGACAGCACAGGTTAGAGTCAGCAGCCTCTTCCTCGTGTCAGCACGCATCGGGTCAGGAGCGTTTCCCGGACATTCTCTGACAGACACGGTGTCTGCAGGGCGCAGGGCCAGGCTGTCGCTGTCCACCTGCAGTGAGCGCCCGGTGTCTGTGCCCCCTGCAGGCCGACAGACAGTACGACGTCCCCCCGCAGCACCGACTGCCCAAGCAGCCCAAAGACGGCTTCCTCGTGGAGCAGGTGTTCAGCCCGCACCCCTACCCCGCCTCCCTCAAGGCCCACACGAAGAGCAACCCCCTGTACACGGACATGCGGCTGACCGAGCTGGCCGAGGTGAAGCGGGGCCAGCCCTCCTGGACCATCGAGGAGTTTGCGCGCAATGCCGGCGACAAGGGCAAGCTGACCGCCCTGGACCTGCAGGTGAGCCTCTCGGGGTCCCATGGGCGGAGAGGGGGGCCCAGCCGCATCCTGGCAGATGCAGGAACGCATCACGGAGAGCTTAGACCGGCCCACCCCTCGCCCTTCCACTCCCTGGGTCCCCACCACGGGCTTCCGAACTTGGAGTCGTAGAGCGGAAGAGATTGTTACCGAGGGGCTGCCTTGCACTTATTTATGAGCAGTAGGCGCGGGAATGCTGTTTGTCACTGCCCGATTCGCTAGCGATGCGTTTAAGACTCCGTACGTGCAGCTCCTCCTGTTTGCTCAGAGACTGGGGCAAAACTGTTTAATGAAATACAGGCTGCTCTCTCCTTCCACATGTAGCACGTGGGATAAGCATATTTGTGGGAGCCGAGCTATGGATTATGTTTCCATACGGAGCAGCCCCAGGTAAGAGCCATCCCCACGCAGTCATGGCCGAGGGCGTGTTTCTGTCCACCCGCAGGCAGGGCAGGGTTCTGGCCACCCTCCCATTTGGGTGGGCAGCTCTGCCAGGTTCCATTCACTCTATGTCTGTCTGTCGCCACGTCACTGGGGGGCAGAGCAGGCACTTGTCCTCACCTGTGGGCTCAGCTGTGTGGGCAGCGAGGCCACAGCCCCAGAATGACCACGTGCCTGAGGCCCGGTTGGCAAGCACCGCTCCCCTGAAATGTCTCACTGCAGAGCGTGGAGGGCTTCAAGGGGGCAGTGTGGCGGAGAGAAGTTACTTGGATTCCGGCAGAGCTGGTTTCTGGAGGGGGCTCCTTTGCTGTGGGACCTGGAACATTCACTTCACCTGTTACAGGGGCACCTTGATATCAAACTTGCAGAGTCACGTGACAGCTGAAAATGAGACCTTAAAAGTGCCAGGCGTTGAGTGGGGCCACAAGTGGATGCCGAGGTTGGTTGATTTTTAGGGTGATTTTCACAGCAGCCTCTGGTTCCAGGCCTGCGAGGTGGGAGGTGCGGCGAGCACCTCCAGTTGTCAGATGGGAGATCTGGGCCCCGGGGAAGGCCAGTCACCCGCCCGAATTTGGTGTGGGCCTGCGGGCAGCGAGCCTCACAGTCTCTGTTCTGGCTACAACATTTCGCTTTTCTGCCGAGAGGTTTAGTGGGGCTTCACGTCACAGAAATGTGACAGCAATGACATTGATCTTGGGTCCTAGGCGACACAGTTATGGGAAGGGGCAGCTCTGGCCAGATCCTGACAGTGCGCCTCCTGATTCCAGGCCACTCCCTCCCGTGTCCTCCTCCTGGCACGCAGGCCTGACGAAGGTGGTTCCCCCGGGAGGTCCCCGTGCAGGCCCGCCTTGGTCTGTGTGAGTTAGACCACCAGGAGCAGCAGTGAGCCAGAAGGGCCTGGAGGTGGGAGTGGCTGAACCAGCGGAATCCTTTTCCCAGGACTGGGGCAGCCTGCAACCTGGTGGCTCAGGAAGCCCGTCCCAGGTCCCACACGGCCTGGGTGACTTAGAAGACATGCTGGGTACTTGCATGCATTCCCCAGTCCTGACTGGAAGGGGAGGCAGAGGAAGGGGGTTGTGGTGTGGCCGAGCCCCACTCCGGGGTGCAATCTCCCCCTTTCTCTGCCTGTCTTCAGTGAGAAAACACACCCTCAGGCAGTGAAAGATAAAGTTAGGTTGGGCCAACCCGTGAGGGCTGCGACAGCTGGCTCCCACACGGCTGGCTGTGTGGCTTGAGTTCTGGACCCCGCAGTCTGAAAAACGTGTGTGTGTGTGCGCGCGCCCAAAACCCAGGCAGGAAGGGGAGATGGAGGAGGGATTGTGGCATGGACATTCCCGTTGGAGGTGCTCGCTCGCTCTCTGGTGAGTACATGCACCTTCTGGCTTTTTTTTTTTAAAATAAGGTTAATCCTACCCGAAGGGACAGATGGGGAGAAGGGACTGGAGTGTGGCCATTCCCCGTGAGGGGGCTCTCTCGGGCGCCACCCTCCTTACAAGCGTGTGTGTCCCCTGGCAAAAATATATATATATTTAAATGTCTGGTTAAGTGAATGAGTCATAGATTGAGAAATATCTTTTTAGAGTTTGTGAGGAGGAGGCTGGGCAATGTCACCCAGCAGATACGTGCTATTTTAACGTGCTAATGTTTGTAACAAAAACAGAACGATAAAAAATAAGGTAAAAATAGAAACTCAGATTACACAGCTGTAGGGGACGCGACCGAGCTGCAAAGGTGTGGACCCCGCCACACGAGGTAGGAAGTGAGGGGTGCAGCGCTCCAGGGGGTGATGGCGGGGAGACAGCGAGCGCGGTGGGCTTGGGCAGGGCGGGCGCTGCCCTGTTTGTTCCCTTAGGGAGCGTCAGTGTCCAGACCTTCGGGATCCCTTGGGGCCGAGGTGGAAGTTCGCTATGAGTGGCGCCCCCTGGAGGGCGTGGGCAGAAGCTCAGGGCGGGTTCTGACAGGCCTCATGAGCACGGAGTAGTCTGGCCATGTCCCTGGGAGCCTCGGTTTTAGCTCTTAGCTACTTGATGCCATCAGAGCTTGTAGTTACTGAAAAAACTAATTAAAAATAGTTTATTTCACAGCCTGAACCCCAGTGAATAATGAGGTGCACACAGCTATGAAAAGAAGCCACTGTGTGTGTGTCTGAGCCGCAGGGGACGGGCACCAAGTCTGATGTGTCGTTTGCACACTCTGTACGTGCTGGGCCAGCCCTGGGACCGTGGGGAGAAGAGCAGGTGGTTTCAGCCATAGTGTCCTGAGCCTGTCTTCAAGGTGCCAAGGTGGGGACTGACCCAGCCTTGGTGGTCACCTCCCCCACCCCGGCAGACCAGAGCACCAGAAAACAGTTGTGAAAAAATGAAACTAAAATGTGAGTTTATTTGGGTACGGCAGAATTTGAGACCCATGCACAGTTTCCTCCTATGCGCATTGTTCTTGAGCGTTGGAAGACCCCTCACATTCCCCCTGGGTGCTCCTCTCCCCGCCTGGGTGTTCATTAACCTACTCAAGGGCTCTCATGCCAGGAAGGTAGATTGGTGCCAAGAATCTGTGGGAGGCAGAGCTGTGTCAGCAGGGGTCGTGGTTCAAGCGTAAGGACACAGGTCCTATCAGCCAGGGCTGGGCAGTGCAGGTGTGCTGAGGGCAGCTCCAGGGCCAGGCTCCTGGGACCCCAGCAGGGGTGCTGTAGCAGGAGTTTCCTGCAGAGGCCGAAGGGCTGGACCGAGCATCCTGCGTGCTAAGGACTTCTCTTACACCGGGTGCTCCAGATACCTTGACAAATCCAGGGCCAGCCAGTGGCATGGTAGTTAAGGTGCTGGATCCCACATGACTGATGAGTGGTTCAAGTCCCAAACCTGGCAGCATAAGAAAAAAATATGCTGTGTGTGCATGTGCCCTCTGGCAAATTAAGTAGTTTTTAAACATAATTCAGTGATGGTCTTTCAACATTAGGCCTCAGGGAGGAAGACCTGGGAGAATTGCAGCAACCCTAAATCTCCTCCTCTCTCCAGTGTACACTTTTATACTAGAACGGGGCCAGCAAATTTACACAGGGCTAGACAGAAAATGCTTTTCTTGGCCTTTTGGTCTCCATCACAACTACCCAACTGTGACATCGTAGCTGTGGAAAGCAGCCACAGTCAATGAATGGGCATGGCTGCGTTCCGATCAAATATTTTTGAGCACTGAGATTTGCTTTTTACGTGATTTTTGACATGTCACAAAGCAACCTTTTTTCTCCCACTTTATTTTATGATCCTTATTTACATCCAATCACTACACATCTCTGCGGTTCACAGTATGGTTTTCAAAGCACGTGTGCAGTACGTGACGGTCTAAGCAAGGGCGTGACCCCGTACGTCACCTCCGACAGAGGACTTGACCCCTGTCTGGTAAGTGTTTCTTCCCTTTGCGCCTCACACACACCGTCCCTCACTGGTCCCCATCTCTCCTGTCTGCATTTATCCTCCCTGCTGTCACATCTGGATCTTTGCGCGTGTGCCGTGGAGGGGAGAAATTGAGTATGTTGAGTGGGAATAGATAGGGTCCGTCTTCGAAGCCTGGCTTACTTAGCGCCGCTCCTCTGACACTCACCGACTTGGAATCTGTTGAAAGGGCCTCCTCGTTCCTTACGGCTGAGTAGTACCCCGTAGTGTGTGTGTGTCACACTGTGTGTCACACTTTTCAACCTAGTCATCCACCGTATTTAGACCTAGTTGGTCGGCGTGTGCTTACTCGCAGTGTTCTTGCACGGTTCTTGGTATTTCTGAAATAGCTGTCGTACCAGCTTCACTACTGCTCACCCCATTCCTTTGTTTTTCTTGATTAGTCTTGCTAATGGTTTGACAGTTCTGTTCATCCTCTACAAAAGAAAATCAATGAAACTGAAAGCTGATATTTTTTCTTGTATAGTTCTTTATTTCTGTTAGTTCAGCTCTGATCTTTATTATATTCTGGTTTTTGTTTGTTTGGGGGGTTTTTTTGGTTGATGCTTTTGCAGTTCCTGGAGGTGCATCATCAAGGTATTTCTTTGCCACCTTTCTGTTTTTTTCCTGTGAGCACTAATTGCTGTGAACCTCCTTGGGACTGCTTTCACTGCGTCTCAAAGATCCCGGAGGGTATCACAATGTCAAAGGCAGGAATTTCTATCCCTGTGTCTATCCCAAACCCTGAGCAAGTGTTCAGTAAACATTAAGGACTGATGAGTGACTGGGTGAATGAAATTTACAAGGGGGCCTTTGGTTCTTGTGCTCCTGGTCCTCTTGGTCCTTGCACAGGACAGTCTGATCCTTAGTGTCTTGGTCCTGTAAGAGTTACACTTCCGGTCTGAAGGGTGCTCTGTGAACAGTTTTTCAGAATCAGTGAATCACGACTAGGTTGTTAGAAAGTCATGACATATTTTTGTTTTTCTATGCAAAAATGCATCACGACTTTCTCAACAACCTAATATGTTTAGGGAATGACTTGGTGACTTGCCTTTTTAACTTAATACTTTTCTATATTTCCTACACTCATCTGAGAGAGCCTCTAGCTACAAAATCTTAGTGCCACCAGGTGTGGTGGATCTCTCTCTCTCTCTTTTTTTTAAATTGTGATTTCTGGTTTAAATATAGGCATCTTTATAGGGCATGGTATGTTTTTTCAAAGACTGTATACAGTGTGTAATAATTAAATTACAGATATACATACATTCCTCTTCAACACTGAACATTATGTTGTGCACATTAGATAATACTGAGTTGTCAGAAAAGTAAAAAAAAAAAAAAGTCATGATGCATTTTTGCATAGAAAAACACATCACAATTTTTCCAAAGCCCAAGAATTCTACTTTTTTTGAAGCATCTCCTGAATTGTCAGTGATCTGAATTTTGAATTGTAACTCTTAATCCTAGTTTCTTATTATGCTTTTATGTCTCTTAAATCCTCTGAACTTTCTTCTGGATCGGGTCTCCCTGCTCTGTTTCTGAGTGCCCCTTGTAGCTGGGCGTCACTTGGCACCGGAAGCAGCCCAGACCCGCTTTGAGAAGAAACACTGTTTCCGTCTAAGACCAGACTTTCTGCAGACACCACAGAGGTGTCTCCATTTCACTTTGTTTCCTGCTCATTTTTCTGCACATCATCCGTCCAGTCCCCTCTCCAGAGTCTTCTCTGTTCACACGTCTCACCAGGTCGAGCGCGGGGAGGGTGGACTGGTTAGGGAAGGACCCTGGTAGGCCACATACTATCAGGGCCCCTTTCTACCCAGCCCGGCCCGCTCATCACTCACCACCCTGGGATTCTCACTGGTGAGAGGAAGGGTCTTTTGGTCTGGCCAGTGAACCCCTTTGGCACTCCATCCTCTGCCCAAGCATTCTGGGCAAAGTTGGAGGAGGGTTGGCCTGGCCTCCGGGTCCCTCCCTGCCATGCCCCCCACCTTCTTCATAGAGAGAGGAAGGAAGGGCCCTTCCATACAGCTGGTGTGGCATGAGCCACCCACCGCTGACCAGACCAGCCAGAGCAAGGTAGGAAGAGCTCCTCAGCCTGGCAGCTACACTCACTCCACCCCTGGCCATTCTGAGAGAGAGAGGAAAAGAAAGGATCTTCCTTCTATCCAGGGTGCTGCTCACCAGCCCTCCCCACATGGGAGGTGGTCTCCAGCCTGCTTCCAAGAAGCTCTGAGAAGAGCTGAGTTGATGACGGAGTGCAGCCTCATTCAGAGAGAGTTGGAGGGACGGACACCTCTGTCCCTCCCGTGGTCCATGCAGCAGCCCTCACGATGTGCCTGCACGGAGCGTCCTTCCAGAAACACAGGGCAAGCTGGAAAAGAGCAGAGCCTGGCTTTAGAGACGGGCAAGCAGGGCATTACTAGCATGCATGGGGATCGTCTGTACCCCGCCTACAGTAGGTCTGTGAGGGCTTTCTCATTCTGCCTGTATATATTCGAGTATGCGATTTTCCATGTTTATGAGCATTAAACAACCCAAGGACATCTGCAAAAGGGATATTTTACTGTGTTTCGAAGATCGAGGTGCCCTCACTCGGACTGCCGTGTGTCGTTGCTTTATGTGACCTGTTATTAAGTGCAGGCCATCAGCGAGCGCACGTCTGTCTCCATGGGAAGACACGACAGCCACTACCGCGGAGTGAGACCCAGGGGCAGCCGCGGTTAACGTGAGGCCGCTCCTGCCTACGGTTCAGGGATGTCAGGGCCACTGGGGACAAGTGTCAGTGGGGGCTCGGTCTCTGGAGGAGCCTCACTAAGTCCTGAA